GAATGTTACCTATTACTTTTGTACATTTAGGATTGGTTTATAGACCAGGCATAGAAGCAATGTTTTTACCAAACAAATATAATGCTATCTATCTTATATATTTGTGTTAATTTTCCACAATATTTGTAAATAGTTTCTTATTGTTATAGAACAAATGAACAAAAAATCTTTTAGCTTTCAGAGGCTGTCATATTCACTTTCTCATGGCTGAGACACAATACCTGACATCTCCAATCTAAAGAAGGAATTTATTTCAGCTCACATTTTCAGTCCATAGTTGGCTGGCTCCAAGGTAGTGACTACCAGATGGAAGGGACTGGTGAAAGATGCTCACTTCATGGAAGCCAGGAGGAGGACAGAGAAGAGAAGAGTCACTGAAGGAGATACATCCTTCAGGTCATGCCAAACTGACCTGTAGACCTAGCTCTATCCTGGGCCCACCTCTTAACTAAGCCAGCTCTACCCCCTATAATCTGGTCATTACAAACTCCACCTGTGAGTGTGTGAAGCTTCAGGGAACATTTCAGATCTAAATCACAACTTCCTACCCCAGGACTCCAAAAAAGAAATGTACATCACTTTATATAAAATGCATTTAGTCCAACACTAAGAGTCATCAAATCTTAACATTTTCAACATTGCTGATCAGTCCAAACCCAAAATTTTCTCTGAGACTCCAGGCAAACTCTTAGCTGTGAGCTACTGTGAAAATAAGAGACAAAGTTAAACACCATCACTATACATGCTCAGGGTAACATTTCTATTCCAAAACGGAGGATTAAAGGGATTGAACAGAATGACACCAAAGTAATACTGAAAAACAGCAAGGCAAACATAGGATCGTGTATTCTGCTCAGCTCATGGGGCAAGTTGTGAAGATAAGACATGAACTCCAAATGGCCCAACACTTATGGCATTACAGGTGGCAGCCCATATGGCTTCTCTCTTGGGTTGGCTTCACTCACTGCCAACAGATTTACTCAGACATTTTATGTTCCTGGCTTCTCCAAATATCTAGGGTCTTTACTATCCTTTCAGTGTCACTCTCAACGCTTCACATACTGTTCTCTCAGGGGTACATGCATGGCTTCCTAGGCCTTCCACTGAAATCTGAGTGGAAGACTCCCTGACCTCACAACATTTACATTTTGCATGCCAATAAAACCAGCACCACATGTCTGATGCCAAAGTGTGCCTAGTTTAAGCAATAGGTGAGCTCCCTTGGATCATGGC